CCCCAAAACCCCAAAACCCCATACTAATCAAATTTGAAGATATATTCAATTATAATAATAAATAATTAGATAAAATGAAGGGCTAGAAAAATGAATCCTATTAGATGGTTTAGGATTAAGACATCCTTGATAAATCACCAGTAAGCAGTCACGAAAAAACTGACTTGAGATCGTTCGGTTCAATCAAGGAAAGCACCAATACCTACAGAAACTTTAACATTGCCTGCATCTTGATCAATCTTTTGACCACTGCTTTTATGGCTGTGTTTTTGAACTATCTTGATGGACTTTTGATTGCAGTCTATGTGGTTTAGTTCTTATTCTGCTTTTCAAATATGATTTTCTACTGCACAAACGAACTAGTTCAGCAAAATTGGATAAGACTAAGAAGGTTCTTAATTTATATTCCCTTTGGAATCTTGAACTTAATCTACCTGTATGATTTCTTCAGATTCTTCAAATAGCTTGAGACCTATAATGACCAGTTCCAAGGTGGGGCTAAGGAAAGTGATTAGGATACTCAAATGACAGAAGCCTTCGTGACTATCTGGCTGACCCATTTCATCATTAGTCCATTCTTCCAGGGACTTTCTTACTGTGTTTACTCATTTGAAGTGTCGAACTAACTCGAGAGAAAGTGAATACAATTCTAGAATTCCCAGACATGCACACAATTGCGTATATTGAATATATAAGACATCTTAATTTAACCTTAAATCAGATCCCTCTTAATTATTATTCTTAATGTTAAAATTGATTTGATTTATTATAATTCTAAGTATAAAAGGAATTTGCAAGCAAATATGGATCCAAAAATACTTTCACTTTACAGATTCGAGCACAAGCAAATCGGCGTCTAGTTCCCTAAGCTTGACTATCCTAAGATCAATAAACTTGTAGGTGGAATTGTTAATATCTTAAAATCCATATAGATCAATATTCAGCCAGTACAGTTAAAAATAACATTGGATGAGGAGTTCGACTTCTAAGATGAGTATACTAAAATCAAGAAACAAAGATTTGAAAAGGAAGAAGAGCGCAAGTTGAGAAGATAAAGATTGTACCAAAGTGAGGAGTCCATTAGATAGAAGTAGGAAGAGATGAAAAAACTTGAAGAAGAAAAGATCAATCTGGAATATGTGCAATCGCTACAAGACAAGGAGAGGAAAGAGTTGGAAGAGGAGAGAAAGAGGAAATTTGAATCTGAGTCAAGAGAATAAAAGATACTTTAAGTTATTAATCAATTCCATCAAGTTGACTACGACAAGGCAAAACAAATGCTTATGCAAGCAAATTGGAATCTAGATGCAGTTATAGATACATTGTCAAGATAATTCCAAATTCAGAAAATGGAGGAATAAAAATTGCACGAGGACACTATTAGTCTAATGGATGCTTACCCTCAGATTGAATACGATTAAGCATTCCAAACACTCTAAAAACATTAAGGCAACCTAATTAATGCAAAAAATGAGTTAAAATAATAGTATTCATTCAGCATTAACTTCTCAATGAGAGGCCCTTAGAAGCAAGAAATCGAATTGCTTAAATCAGAATTCAACAAACAAGATGATGCAATCCTCATGATCACCTACCTCCAGAGTGTGAGACCTATTAATGACAGCTATTATAAGTTGTACAGAGACCCTCACTGCACTCAGCAGATTTCATATATTGAACTCTCGCAGTCATTCATACTTCTTGGAATCAGGTCTAATGACACTTTCTTTGTTCACAAGGATACTATCCCTCCCTACTGATGAAAAAATTATCTGAAGTAATAAATGATAACGATTTGTTATTTTTATTCTTATTATCCTAATCTGATCATCAATCAATACTAAGGGGTTTTGGGGTTTTGGGGTTTTGGGG